GTTTCATCCTATTAGAAATTAGGATAGAACAGTGATGAGATTGAGATGTCTCACTGTCTCAATAAAGCAGACAATTTGGATAAAAAAAATTGGATAATAACATTCATTAAAATTTAAGTCACATAATTTATTAAGTTTAAAATCAAAACAACAACAATACATAAATCATAACAATTAAAGTCAAATTATCGAATTCCATCAATCACAACTACAAGTGTATAACACATTATGATAGCAATTACAAGTAATCTTTGTGCTATAAGAACAACAATAGACAAGTTAAACACAATATTAAATCATTATTCTTCGTCTTTAGTTGAGATATATAAAGTTAGTTACTCTTATGAAAATAAAGGAAGAAATACAATATAAACAAAAGTTATTAAATTGATAGATATAAAAATAAATTGTATTAATATAATTAATATATTACATTATACTACTTACTTTATGTCATTAAAATTATTAATATAGAAACTTTTAATTTTGAATAAAAATTGCACGTGTTGAAATTATAAGTAATATAATTAAAATAAGTATAAATTATATTAATATAATTAATATATTTAATATATATTTTTAAAATAATAAATTATATATATAATATTCAAGACGGACGGGACATCCTGAGGGCAATCCCATATTCATCCCAAACCCCTTTTTTATCTCATTTCACAAAATTTTGTCCTGATTCTTTTTGGGTTGAGACCAAGCCGGGTCGATCGGGACAGGTACAAATTGAATACCTCTACTTTGAGCTAATGACACATGATAAATTGTACTAATTAATATATAAAAGTGTGTAACAAATGAGTTCTATCAGTTAACAACTCCAATGCCATGGCAAAAGTTACATTGAATGCTCTCAATAGCTGGGTTCGACCTAATGAATTAGAAGTTCAATTGCATGTGGATGGATCTTATAAAGATGGTAGCTCATATTGCTGTGGGGTTGTTAGAAATACCAATGCAAAGTAGATAGCATCTTATAATTTCACAACGGGTAGCTTACCACTTGCAATTACAGAAATTGAGTTTAACTCAAGGGTTGGAATTGTGTTAATATTTGGGCCATGTTAGAGTGAAATCTTACATGGATTGTCCGGAAGTGATTCACTTGATTACTAGAGAGGATATTGAACTCCACCCTTACAGAGATATAATTGAATATGCTAGATTCCTCTGGTACAGCAATAGTTTTATTTCTCTCGATTTTATTTTTAGAGAAGCCAATCTTCGTGCTTATTTACTTGCTAGTCATGCTTTTCATTATCCTAGTCACTTTTGCTCTTATGATCAATTCCCATCTTATTGTAGAAAGTTGGAGAATGATGATAAAAGTAAGACCTTAGTAGAAACTTGATGCATACTCCTTTTTGAATAATGTTATCTAGGTTTTATTAAAAAAAACACGAATACAATATTTCTATATTTATATTTATTTTATAGTGTGTTTCATTTTAAAATAAATATAATGTGATTCATTCATTAAAGACATTTTTTAGAAAATACACATTAATCATACCTTAATACATCAATTTTTTTTGCATTTTTTAATGTTCAACTTCTAAAAAATGCTTAATATTTTCAATGAGTTGTAATATTTATGGTGTTGTGGTTGAAGGAAATCATTTAAGATCTAATTTTTTAGTTACTTTCCAATAACTAATTCACTCATTTAAAATAATCTATGATATTTTAATGCCCAGTGCCATTCATTATTAATTCAAATGTCTCTCTTGATAAATAAACATTAACATAATATACTTGTACGGAGTGTTTGGTTGGAGAGGAGAGATTTTGCCCCTTCTTGTTTGACTTGAAAAATTGGAGGGGAGGGAAAATTTAAAATTTAAAACAAAAAATTAAAAATTTTCCCTCCCCTCCAAATTGGAGGAATTGAGAGGGGAAGGATAAAATTTATCACACCCTGACTAATATGTCTTCTATGATAAGTTTAAAAGATGCAAATATATTTTTTCAGTATTTCAATACTAATAAAATAAAGGTAAAGTTATTTATATATAATTATTTTTCCTCCCATTCCCTCTTGAATCAAGCAGTATAACATCAAACCCCTCTCCCTCCATTAAAATTCTCTCCTCTCCTTGAACCAAACACATCTACAGTGAAATGAGATTAAACTTCCATTCCCCTTCTCTTGTTAATTAATCTCAACCGTGCCACTGTTGTACATTTAAGTGTTAATTATTATAAATTAATTTATTAATACTACATACCAACAAAAAAAATCGAAACTTTTGTCATATTTAAAAGGATAAAAGAACAAATTGTCTCTAAATTATAGATTCAATGTATTTGGACTTGAAATTTATTTTTTGTGTAATATTTTTTTAACTTTTGAAAATGATACGATTTAACTCTTATTGTTAACAAAAATTAGCTTTAACCATTAGTAACCAAAAAATGACCACAAAAAAAACCTCAAAAATACAAAAAACGAGGAAAATCATAGTAAATGAATCAAAAATTACATGTAAAGACTCAAAAAATTACAAAAAATGATCAAAAAAATTTATCGATCTTTTATATAATTTTTGAAGTTCTTTTTTGTCATTTTTCTGGTCAAGTAATAATCAATGTTAACTTTTATTAATGATAAGAGTTAAATTATACAAATTTTTACAAGATAAAAGAACTGATATAAGAAAGGTAAGCTTTGTTATATACTTTAATTTTAGTTTAAATTAATAATATATCTTTTTGCACGAAAAAACAAGGTAAGCTTGATGATCCTTAAACTCATAGCTGATGCTTAGAGATCAATAAAATACAACATTCTAAAACTACTGTTGTTTTGGATTCTGAAGAGATCATATCTAAAGCCTTTTTAGCTTCACAAAGCAGCAATCAAGGTGATTCCCTAAAGAATGACCTCTCTATTTAGGGTTATGCAAAGTCCTTCAATGCTATTTAACCCGTCCAATCTAAGATGGTGTCAGTTTGTTCGCTCTATATAGACACTAGTCCTTCAAGACTAAAAGACTGAAAAGATTAAGCTATTTCTTTAAGTTGGACTAGATAAGAGACTAGGCATCTAAACCATTGGTCTAATCCGGTCCTATTAATTTTTTATTATAATTATACTTAATTTATTTTTGACAAATACTTCAAATGTAATTGATGCTAAGGAGATAATTATATAAAGATTTGTTGAGTTTGTTTTTAATTGTTGTTGTAATGTAGTGTTGTTGAAATTTGTTAAGTGCTATTTTTGTTAAAGTTATAAATTTAAATCATTTGGACTATAATAAAAATATTTTTTTTCTTATAGTTGAAAATTACTATGAATTTATTATTATTATTATTATTGTTATTATCATCATTATAAGTGTTTTTACTATCTTAATTGAGTTTATTTAGTTGAAATGGATGATTACCTATCATAGAAGAAAAAGGAGAAAAAAGCTAAATGAGTATTGGGCTAGTAAGATCAGTCTCCCAATCTTATCGACCAAGTTCGATCATGTTAATTTTCGAGTAATCATTGGACAAGACTAAACTACTAGTTGCCTACTCCAATCCTTTTTATGAAAGAATCGGACTTCGAGTTAGAGTGAAATCCAATGCCATCGTATCTTTCTACAGCCCTATCTTCATCATTGCCAAGTAGGAGGGGAGAAAAATAGATTCCAATACCTCTCCATCATTGCCAAGAAAGTAGGATGGGATAAAAATTGATTCCTATTTGGTGTGTCAAATTGTCAATTATCAAGGGACAATTAATATGAATTTGTGGTCACAAAAGTCACAAAGATAAAAGAACTCTGATGTAAGAATGTTAACAAGCTTTATATGAGAGTATTATTGGCAAGAAAGCAAGATTGTCCTTAAATTATAAATTCAAGGGTGTTGAGAATCTTTAACTTACAATATATACAATGTTCTACTTTAACTAAGATTTTAAAAAACTCGTTAAATGTGTAATATTCCATTTCAACTTTTAAAAATAGTACCATCAAACTTTTATCATTAACAAATGTCAATTTAACTGTTAGTTGACAAAGAAAATAATAAAAAATGACATTAAAAAAAAACAGGAAATGATCAAAAAATAGCCATAAATGACCCAAAAATTAGAGATAAAAACTTATAAGGCTATAGAAAAGACCAATATTGATCATACTTTAATTTTGTCTTTTTTGATCCACTAACAGTCAAAGTTAACTTTTATTAATGATAGGAGTTAGATTACACGTTTCAAAAGTTGAAGTTGAAAAAAATTGTACAATTAATGAGTTTAGAATTCCAAGCACTCTTGGACTTAATATTTAAGAGCCAATTTGCTCTTTTACTTGTTTCACATTTTTAATAGTGTATTTTGATCGTTAAAGATGTTGATCAAATGCCCCAAAATCATCCAATGTTGTTCTAAAAGCCACAATTTTTTTATGATCGTTTGATGACGTTGTAGAAGTAAATTGCAAGTTCAAACCCTCTACATGTATCAATATCAACGATGGAAGTCAAGCAATGAATATTAATACTTGTTGCAAAACCATGAAACACTAAACTTATGTGAGCAAGAGTTGCAGAGGTGGACTGTGATGAAGGATGACACATTGAAATGAGATCTTCGCACAAAGTTTGAAATCTAACCAGTCATGAGATATCTTATAATAAAATCACTCACACACACATATAAGGAAACTGAACAACCTGATAGATAGGTCAAATAAACTAGAAACATCTGGTATTGAATATTTACATTAATAATTCTTAATAATATCTATAAAAGACATCAAAACAGATAATTATTGAATGATCTAAACTGATAGGGCTTCATGTTTCCAGCCAAAAAAAAAAAGCAAAAGCAAACATTCATGGCAATAAACTAATAATTAACTTTTACAATCAAGGTTCATCAACGTGAATGTTGCCAAGTGTCACAACTTACAAGGCTTTCCACATAATTGGAAACTACACCACCAACGTCATGTCTATGGAGGTCAAACCTCTTAATTTCATTGGTAGCGACATTAAATAGATGCAGACCAAGTTTTGGTTCCACTCAGCATTGCAAGATCAGTGTCAAAAATATCTCCGATACAAGCAAGTGAAGGCCTATAAATTCCAGAACCAACGCCTACAATTTCATTCCTCCAAATGGACTCAGGATATAACATGTATGGACGAGGGCTACTAGCATATTTCCTTACTCCAATTCCATCTCTTCCCACACGAATCCACCTGTTCCTCCCACACCCACAAATCAATCAAATAATATTGAATGTCTTCAGTTCCATGAGAATGAAGCATAGCAAGTTTGTCCTCATACACAGTAAGCCGACTAATCCCAAAACAAGTACGACAACATAAAGCAGGCCATGGTATCAATTTAAACACTTCTCTTGCTATGTCAAATGAAACTATAATTTCAAAACTATCTTCACCCACCTCTTTTTTTAAGTCTAACGCATGCCAAAAGATACTTCCATTAACAGAAACAACATAAGGAAGAAGACGCACAGCCTCTAAGTTCCCAAATTCTATTTTTCTCCATGAATTTGTGCTCAATGAATACACTTCCACCCCAGAAATTGCATAACCAGACTCAGCATACGTTCGCACTATCTTATAATCATTAAGAATTGGACTGAACCCAAATCCTACCGTGATACTATCCTTAACAGTAATAGTAGTTTTGGTGCTAGGCAACTGCCTGACCTCTCTAATGGCAGGATTCCATAATAAGAGGGCAGAAGGAGATAAATCAGACTGCTGGCCTGCAAGACAGAGCAAGCCATTGCTGGAACCCAGGATCCTAACGGACGAAAAGGAATCAATCAAAGGTGTGCTCTGAACTTGTCGGACTTGCATCTCGCAATCGAGCAAACGTAAAGGCTTACGTGAATAATCACACGAGAAAGAAGCGAAGGGTTTTGATGAGTGGAGTGGTGGACGTGGTCAGCGACAAAACATGGGGTCTGGATGAGATTTTTCCAATGTTTACATACGCATTGAAAACGGATTAGGGATTTTACAGGTAGTCTTTTGAGAATGTTTGTGATGATTTCTTCAGGAAGATACGGCGTATCACCGTCCACTCGCATATGCTTCATAGTGCTAGGCCAAGGGGAAAAAGATCCCTCAAACGAAAGGAGATAAATCAGAGGCTGAGAATCAAGCAAAATACCTGAAGTAATCAACGGAGAGGAAGAAATCTCACTCGAAATCTATCAGACAAAGCAGAAGAAATTAGAGGCTGAGAATCAAAGGAATGTCGAATGAGAAGAAGGAATTTCGCACAGGAAAAAAACATCGAAATCAAACCAAGTTTATATCAGAAACTAATTATCATTATTATTCAGTTTATTTGGGCCATTATCTACGAGAAATTAAATATGTATCTTACCATCATCATCATCATCTGACAAAATTATTATCGTTATCATTATTTAATTTTGTAATCTTTTAATATCCTATAAGTTGACGATGCTTAAAGTAATGCAATCTTGCTATCTGTTAAATATGATATCTATTAAAAAAATTAATATAATTTAAATATAACAACTATCTAAAAATATATCAATCATGATTTCTTATCATTATTTATATAAGCGACTCTGATTTCAATTTTAATTTTATAATTTAAAATATGGTATTAAGTATAAAATTTTCAGTCCAAAATAAATATTTAAATAAATGAAGAAAAATTATATTTTTTTAAGGAGTGGTTATATATTCAAAAAAAAAGTT